ACTAGCCTATGATTTATTAATGCGATTACAATTCAACCTATATTAACATATAACCTATGATTTATTAATGCGATTACAATTCAACCTATATTAACATATAACCTATGATTTATTAATGCGATTACAATTCAACTTATATTAACCTATACTAATGATGCAAATGGGAATTCAACCTATACTAATCTATACTATGAATGCAAATGAAATTCAACCTATACTAGCCTATACTATGCATGGAAAACAACTATCTTATGCATGTGCCACGATCCCAGGATGTGCGATGCTGCCATCGGTTTCACATAGGTGCCTTGCCTTTATCTTAAAATGTGGTAGAACGAGGCTTGAGTATTTCTAGAATACTCAGCAAGTGACCCCCTATCGGGGTTATGCAACAATCACATGCAAATGAGATGATGAGACCTATCTTTCAATCTATCTTCGTACGGTGCTGTCCTAACGGGTAATTTGGACGTATACCATATACTCAAAACACAGCCCATATGTGCAAGTACTGGCTCACCAGTCAGTTCGCACACCACTGGGCACTTTCCTTGTCGGGCGAGCATACTCTGAGAGCTCCTTAGGCCGGACACCCGTTAGAACTAATAACCGTCACGGCAGCGCTATGCAAAACATAACGATCGTACCCCTGCCATTGTCTGTTAGGCCGCGGTTTGTTTAGGTGGGAAGAGGGTTGAATCATTGGGCCGAGAGGGTTTTGGATCACAGGTCGGAGATCGAGTCGGACTTTGTCTTCCTCGCCTGATTGCCAGAGAGTTTTTTTTTTATGACTCTATCTCTCTCCTCGGTCACGTCGTTCTGACGTCCTTTTTCCTCCGTTTCTGAGTCTCCTCCTTCCCCTAATCCCGTTTATGGTGTTTGTTTGTTTCGTAAGGGCCTAACACTCAAAGATTTGAGAGGGTTCGAAAATCCGACGTTCTGTCTCCCTTACCCGATGGAGTACGACGTGTAAGCAACATCGAAATCTATCTGAGATTGTGTAAAGGTCATTGGGATCATTTTTGTGGTGTAGATTGGAGGTTTCGAAGTCGATTTCATATGGTTTGGCTTTGCCGGAGTGTCGTCGGTTTCTTCCTCACTCTCACGTTTTTTCGTTTTCTTCCTTGTAGGCGGTTTCGCTGAGGGTTGGGGTCTGTTATTGTGGTGACCCTCGAAGTTTGGCGAGGCTCGTGGGCCGACGACCGTGGATTTTTTTTTTATCCGTTACACACGTGGTTGGATGAGCACCACTTAAGGATCACCGATTTTGATGGCGTAATGTGAGGGACACAACGAAAGACCATCTACCATCAATCATTCCCTCTAAAATTTATCCATGTGTCATGCAATTTATAAAAACATTACTATCCACATGGTTAAAAAACATTAAAAAGATATTTTCCTGTTGATTGATACATGAATATGGAAGTCATAAAAAAATTTAGACTATTAATATATCACATTTTTTTTTGTCATCCCATCTAAACCATATCTAACACTAGAACAATTTGTTATTGACTAGAGGAGGAAACTTAGAACATCAATCCAGATATAATGCATAAAGAAAGCTTAGTACATTTTTTTCCTTTAAAAAAAGCTTAGTACATTTTTTTTTGTCCTTAGCCTGTAGTGGAGGCATATAATTTTTGTGCAAGAAAATAAAGTAAAATTACCAAATAGTAATAACATGATCATTTCACTACTTAACTGATTGCATACAAATAAAGGAGAAAGAAAAAGGAAGGGATGGAAGAAGGGAGAAAAAAGAACGAATAAGAAAGGGAGAGAAAACAAATGGAATAAATTTTTTTTAATAAAAGATAAATAATAGGGAAAAATGCAATACTCAAATGCTATAAAAAGCTTTTCTAAAAATTTCCTTTACTTTTTATAGCATATTTTCTAAAAAAAAAAATAATAAATACAATATTCAAACGCTATAAAAAAGACATTTTTCTTATAGTGTCACCAGGAGCGCTCTTGTATTATTTCTTAATTTGAAAAGCATAGGAAGAAGGATGAAGTTCAATAGAACCAATGAACCTAAACCCATCTTCTTCTTTTTGTTTTTCATTATCTTCATATTGTCCTCGGACAACACTAGGCGCTGCTCATCTGCTGAATCCGGCCATGCACATACTCACGTACATTTATTTTAGTTCCAATATTATAATGGATGATTCATCACCTTCCTCATATATTTTCTTACAAATACCTATTCTATTTTTACACCCAAATCTAGTGTTCTAACTAAAAAAATTTAATGCATTATACTATGCCAGCCCATCGCTAATCATGAAGATCAGGAGTTGACCTTGCCAAGAAGAGGATTGGGTGGGCCGGGATCGTCGCCACCAAACTGCGCCTCAAAGTGTGGGAGCTGCACGCCCTGCACTACGGTTCTTGTGTCGGTGACGCCGGGACCTCCAGGCGTCGGTGATGATTTCCCAGAAGTCTGGAGATGCAAATGTGGGAACAAGCTCTACATGCCCTGATCGGAAAAGGTATGCCCCCCGGGCATGTATACTCTTATATGTTACTTATCCGCCGATGAGCCGAAGTAGGCGGTGTGGGTCTGTTTCATTTATACCCCTATCATAGATCATGTATAGATTATTGTGTAAACAAAAAACACAATGATTATATACTCTATTTTATCATATATCTAAGTACAGATCCGCGACAAAAAATCTATCAATAACCTATTAAAAATACAACTTAAACTATGCTAGAAAAATCTATCAATAACCTATTAAAAATACAACTAAAACTATGCTAGAAAGATAATTAATAAAATTTATTAATAACTTAGATGGAAATTAATTACTTTTCTATTTTTTTTAGATAGATAAAACATAACTCATAATTTGATTGAGGACGTGGATGAATTGTAGACTTAAAAATCTTACCTAGATTCGAGTTTTTATGAATTTAAAATAATATAAAATATGAAACGTTTTTATAAAATATAATATGGTAGTAACATCCGTGAATTGAGCTCCCCGTGAATGTTATATTCTATAAGATGTCTTTTATCTTATTCTATATTGAATTTATACCAAAAGTGGTATATGTTAATGTGTATATTTTATGCATGATATATATTTATCATAATGTATTTCGAGCTTTATGGAAAAAGTATCGATATTTGTATTGTATATATTTAAGTACACATTGTTCCGTACATTATACCCGATAGTATATAATTTATTATTATAATATATGCGCAAATAAGAGGACAAGATGAGCAGAAAAATACATAACAGAAAAAGTAAATGAATTAAACATTGAAAAAAGAATCCAAAAAGAGTAAACTTGAAAAAAAAATAAAAAAGAATTATGGGTGGGAGGGATAATATGTTGGATTAGGGCAATGAAAAAAGAATCCAAAAAGGAGTAAAATTGAAAAAAAAATTAAAAGAAAGAATATAGATAATTGTAAAAAGAAATTAAAAATCCTTTAAAACAGCCAATATATATAGAAATTTCTTGCACACCATAAATAGACTTGGTTGAAAATAGGCCTTAGCTCAAACATTGATCGAGTGATTTTTCACATTCATTACCTTTAGGTTTGTCATCTAATCCCAACGACACTTTTTTCCCAGCATTGACGATGAAGGGGTTTTAAGCGAACTATCAAGTCCTTCTATAGACTCAGCTACTCTCAAGGCGCCCACGTAAGTGAGAGGTGCAATCGCCTCAACAGTTGTTATGAATCTTCGTGTCTAACCCCAGCACAAACCGTCTTGCTATCCTGTAGTCCGTGTCTACCAACTCTGGGGCAAATCGCTTTAGTTTAGAAAATTTTCTAGCATAAGTAGCAACACTACGCCCCGACTCAATTGAGTGAACTGGGTTTTCGCAGCTGAACATCCTCGGGATAATATTCTTCAGTAAAGGCGCTCTTGAATTCTAAGACTGCACCTCCCTCAGGACTATAATATTCTTCAGTAAAGGCGCTCTTGAATTCTAAGACTGCACCTCCCTTAGGACTAATAATGTCACGGGTGGCTTGAATAAACGTAGCACACACTCCACCCTATGGGCCTCAAGGCAGTTGGTCAACCCAAACAGTCTAAATGGATCTCAACCACATGGCTTGCATAAACGTAGCACACTCCACCCTATAGCCCTCAAGGCAATTGGTCAACCCAAACACAGTCTAAATGGATCTCAACCACATCTGTGCCACAGTTGGATCGTCAGATGTCCCCTTAAAAGTTCGAGGGTCACCCCTCTTGAAATCTCGCAAGTACTTAGTTTCCATGGTTGATGTAGAAGCATTTGTTTGCTGGTTGGCAGTCAGATTTTTGTTTCACAACTTGCAATGCCTCTACTAAGGCAGTTGTAGGGTTTGGTGTGGCCTGAGGTGTCGCTGGTGACGGAAGAGGCTGATCTACAGAACCCTCACGTCCCCAACTACGTCCCCTTCGACCCCTTCCTTTACCCCCCTAAGCGGGGGTCGTCCCCTACGACCTCCTCCTCGAGTTCTAGGTGGCATCTAAATAGTGCACATAACTACTAAATCACATACTCTTCTAATAGATTCTATAAACCTTCGTAATTATGCAAATCACTCGTACATACAACTATAGCATTAACATAACCATCTGATAGTACATAACATATCATAAATCATGCCAACATATAACACATGTACATCATATCATTCATTACAAAATACATATTCACTACTACATGCATCATTTAACTAAGAAACTTTAATTCTTAAAAAGGCATACCTGATAGTGATGGTGCGTTTGCTGGAGGACCATGGAAATACGTTAGGCCTACATTGTAAGCCAGTCAACAAGACCTATAACCTAGAGCTCTGATATCAACTGTAACGCCCCTAATTTTCTAAACCTAATTAGTGACGTCACCCATGCATACACAACTCATTACGCGGAAGCTCATCATAAATAACCTTGGAAAGTACAACAAAGTCTTTCGTAAAGATCCAAAAATCCAAACAAACATATCTCCGAAAATAAAACCTTCCGTAACTGAATTCAAAACAAATCTAAATAAAACAATGTTCAATGCTTTAACTTAAAAATCTATCAAATAAACATAAACTACTAAAACTGCCCCTCCTCCACTTCCATGGCGTTAGGCGCTTTTCTATTCCGGGTAGGGTTGGATGTGTGGTACTCCTTCACGCACGGCCCATGTACGTGTACATGGACCCACCAGGCGAGCTCATATACATACCCCCTAGTCCTGGCTTGGTCGGGCACAACGTGTTACACGTCGTCGGACACCACAGAACAGAAAAGGCCCCGCATGATATCATGACGAACATAAATATCGTAATTCATTCTTTCGTAAAGGGGAATTATCCCGATGCAAGTGACATACATAAATGCATGAGGTCCCTAAAAATACCTAACATGGCATTACATAAGCATTGCTAACATCGCATATACGTTTCTTACATTACATGGCATCTCACATGACTTACATTACATGACATATTACATAACATGAAAATACATTCCAGTTGCATAAGTATCTCATGACATGACTCGATAATACTACGTGTATCCATGACATCAATCAACATTTTCATGGCATATGATACGAGCAGATCAACAATGTTTTCACAACATAACAATCAACAGTCAACATCATCCAGAACTTTTCATATGGTAAACAGTCAACCGTCAACATAATCCAAAACTTTTCATAGTGTAAACAGTCACATAATTCATACATCATATAATCATATCACATAAAATATGGTGCATGCAGGGGGCCACAGGGCACGCACCGTCATACAACATGTAGTAAGCTAACTTCAACAGTAAGGGCACTTACCTCGATGGCCTTGGCCGAAGTCATTCACAACAAGCTAATTCCAACGGTTAAATACGTCCTATAATAACCACATAAAAACTTAGGAACCTTTCATAACATACCCTAGCTAAATCTGATGTATTTATCAAAATGAACTCCCAACACAATCTGTCTTTGATGGTTAGGAACCATACTGACCTCAGATGGTAAAACTAAGGGCAGAAACAGCATCGGAAGGGTTGAAAACCTTGGTGATAAGATAAGGAATCAATACAAGGGGAATAAGATTCGGATTACCTTGTTGATCGAATATCTCAAGCAAAGAACATTTTGTTTGAGATTCGAATCACTCCAGAAGCAAGATCGATCATGTCTAGCTTCAATGATTCTTGTTGATCAAATATCTCAAGACAAGAACACTTGTTTGAGATTCGAATCACTCCACAAGCAAGATTGATCATGTCGAGCTTGAATGATTCTACATGCAATCTAAACTACATAGAATTGCAAAGAAACTTAGCCATTGGCTAAAGAAAAGCACAAATGCTTCTTTTGATATATCTTCTAAGTCTTCTTACAAATACAACATACATGGCTTTATATAGCCTCAAAATGAAACTACTAAAGATATTTCAAAGAGTTGTAACATTCATACTTAATGCCCATAATTGACCATTATGTAATTGTAACCTAAACCTAAAGTAAATTAAAAGTCTTAAAATACAATAATGAAATACAATAACTCCAAATTGTAACCCACCCAAAATTTACAACAATCAAACTTTATTCTTCTTCAATGTAGCATGAATTGAAACATCTTTTGATAATTTTGACAACCTTTTCTTCACATCTTCATTGAAGCATATTGTATGATTGATGTCTCTTGGTTCATATCACTTGGAATCGATATATTATAGTGATACCAAACCGATAAGCCGAACTACTGAGCCGACCAACTAAGCTGCCAAGCCGAGCCACGGGATTTAACGGAGCCGAGCCGCCGTACACGTCAATCCGAGCTGAGAGCACGCGTGCGAAGCCGAGACCGAGGCTGCATGCATGCGTCCATGTTGGCCCGAAATGCACAGGGCCCATGTTTGTCCGTGGGCTGGTTCAGAGGCCGAAACCCGACTCGACTCTACGTCTTCTTCGCCCAAACCCTCACGAAAACCCTAATCTGATGTGCCGCCGCTGCCGACGACACAATCACCTCCGTTTTCGATGATGGTTACGTGGCGTCCTCCTCCTTTGCTTCCAATGGTTTGCCTTCTTCGATGCAGCGATTCCGACGTTGACGCTAACTTCCACTCGACTCTTCCTCCAAAACAGCAACGCAATCGATTTCGAGTACTCACCAAACAAGAAAACCACTCAGCGAACCAACCCACACGTTTTCCCAGGTAACACACGATTTTTTCGTACTCTCAGACACCCTCAAAAATAGAAACAAGTTTGGAGAGCAAAAATCATTTTCAAGGAAAGAGAAGGGTTGAATATAGGAATATAAGGGTCTCATAACATTTTCATTAAGGTAATACCTTCCTTGTTGCAAATCATGCATATTTTCCGGTGGAATAATTGATACAATATAATATCTGTCATATATGGAAATAAAAATAAAAATCTTAACAATATAAGGAAAAATGGACTGAATGGTTACAGCGTACCTGTCACCATGGTGCCAAACATTTCCGCCTCTTTACTAGTCGTTGCATATGCCTTGGTCTGTGCGTGGGTTTGTAAGAAAAAAAACGCAACAGAAGGGGAGAATAAACAAAGACACAAATTATTTCTTCTTTTTTGTGGTGTCTTTAGAACTTGGCACCATTTTCTTTATATACTAAAAAATTTTACCTATTTCTGCTACAAATCAGCAACCACTCCTTCCACTTCTACTATTCCACTCCATACAAACTAGTTCCTTCCCCTTCTTACAATATTTCCGACCTTTTTTCATGGAGAAATAAACACCAGAAATAAAATAATAAAAAAAATAAATAATAAAAACAAGTTTATAACCAACAATCACTCCTCTAAACTTGTTTAACTACGTTGAAACGACTTTCTTCAAGCCAATCTTCTCTCTTAACTCTAGAAACCGTTGTCTTGCTAATGGCTTTGTCAGAATATCCGCCAATTGTTCATCTGTGTTCACATATTCCAATTTAATAGCTTCAGTTTGTACACATTGGCGAATAAAATGGAATCTGGTATCAATGTGTTTACTTCGATCATGGTAAACAGGATTTTTCGCCAACGCTATAGCTGACTTGTTGTCAACATTAAGATTGGGTTTTACTGGAAGTTGACTGATGTTACTCAAAATCCTGACCAACCATACTCCTTGACATGTTCCAGAAGTTGCGACTATATACTCAGCCTCGCATGATGACAAAGCCACCACCTTTTGCTTCTGTGATATCCAGGTTATTGAATTTACTCCCAAATAGTACAACACTCCAGTTGTACTCTTCCTATCATCAATATCCCCAGCCATATCACTGTCGCTAAATCCTACCAGCTCCACATTCGATAGCTTCTTATAAACGCAGTCAAAACTTAGAGTACCTTTCACATACCTCAATATTTGTTTTACTGCTGTGAGATGTGAAGTTGTTGGTGTCTCCATGTATCTACTCATCACACAAACTGAGTAGGCTATGTCTGGCCGGGTATTAACTAGATAGCGTAAGCTTCCAATAACACTTCTGTAAAGTGTTTTGTCAACCGCAGGTTCTCCATTTCCATGTTTGCTCATCTTCATTCTTGGTTCCATGGGAATCGAACAAGGATTGCACTCCCCCATTCCTAGCTTCTCTAGGATTTTTCTTGCATATCCGGCCTGACATAAAGTGATTGATTCACTGCTTTGTCATACCTCAATACCCAAGTAATAGCTCAAAAGTCCAAGATCGTTCATCTCAAATTTCTGGTGCATCTCTTCCTTGAACTCAGCTATAACTTGTTTGTTTGAGCCGGCTATGATTAAGTCATCCACATATGTGCCGATTATCATTGCTTCAATTTCATTAATTTTCTTGTACATAGCATATTCCTGTGGACATCTAACAAAACCAAGTGACTGCAAACATTGATCAAGTTTAAAATTCCAGGCCCTCGGAGCTTGTTTTAATCCATACAAGGCCTTACGTAGTTTTAACACCATGTTTGGATTTTCTTTGTTAACGAACCCTTCTGGTTGAACAACATACACCTCCTCTTCTAACTCGCCATTCAGAAAAGCTGTCTTTACATCCATATGATGTACTTCCCAGTTCTTAATGGCTGCATAGGCAAGAATTAATCTCACTGTTTCCAACCTGGCCACTAGTGCGAATACTTCACTGTAATCTACACCGAACTACTGTGCATATCCCTTTGCCACGAGTCTTGCCTTGTGTTTCATGATTTCTCCATCTGGATTTTTTTTTTAATTTGAAAATCCATTTGATGCCGACTGTTTTATGATTCTTCGGCAAGTCTGTGAGTTCCCACGTTCTGTTCTTTTCGATGGAGAGAATTTCAGACATCATGGCATTCCTCCAGTTTTCATTCTTAGTAGCTTCCTCATATGAGGTTGGCTCCTCTAACAAAGGTTCATTGCTTCCTCCTCTGCTTCGTTCAGTTCTCTATAAATATCTTCTAGAAACCTGAATTTTTTCGGCGTTGATGAGCTTGATGATGATGCATTTGAGGTACTTTCCGACGTTGATAAAGTTGAGGACGAATTTTCCCTTTGTCTTTCGTCTGGATCAACTTCAATATTTTCAATATTCCTCTCCTCTGTTCTACTCTGTTTTTTTGAAATTTGAACGGTGAAAGTTCCTCTTTGTTCATCATCACCGTTTGTGATTTCTTCCCAACACCACATTTTCTCCTCTTCGAACACCACATCCCTGCTCACCATAATTATGTTCTTTTGTGGATCCAATAGTCGGTAAGCTTTGGTTCCATCTTCATATCCCAACATAATTGTCTTCACACTCCTATCAGCAAGTTTAAGAAGGTGTGAATATGTATTCTTGGCATGAGCAAGACACCCGAAGATTTTAAAGTGATGAACCTTTGGTATCTTGTCAAACCAAGCTTGATACGGTGTACCATCTGCGACTCCTTTTGTTGGCGATCTGTTCAGAATATACATGGCAGTTTTGATAGCCTCTCCCCAAAATTTTGCAGGCATCTCTTTGCTCTTTAACATACATCTGGTCATCTCTACCACCGTTCGATTAC